CATTCAATCATATCGTACAGACTTCTGTATTTTTCTACCGTTGCTTTACATCTATCATTGAACCATTACATGCTATTGTTCTATGACTTAAACATTCATTTACTGTCTCCTTAATAATAATCTTAGTGTCCTTCCAAATAGCTTCTGTAGGTCTATCATTTTGGTTTATTATCTTAATGTTGTTTTCTATACAACTTTGCTATATTATCCTGGTTTGAATGTACTTTAAATTTAGATTGAATTGTTTAGTTTGTGATCATTATCTATGGTATCTGGTGTCAAGTTTTATCTTTTTAATGGCTTTCACTAGGAGGTGATCACTGTAACAGTTCACACTTTGGTAATTTCTCACATTTGTTATAGGCTGAAACTACAAATAATTAGAATGTCAATTTGCATGTTAGCATGTTTTTTATTTGAAGATATCTAGGTTTCTTTATGTATATCTTTCTTTATCATCTGGATAGTGCTGACTGCCAAACCTTGCATTTCTGCAAGATGGCACACTCTTATACCTCTATCATTTGATATTTTATGTAAGCTTTCTTTCCTTTAGGTCTCCAAAAGCATTCTTTCTGTCTCACCTTTGCATTAAAATCACTGAATACAATTTTTGCCTTTTGAGGGAGTATATGCAATCATTTGAGCCAATCTACCATAAAACAGCTTTTTGGGCTGCAATTTGAAAAAATTGTAGACCTATAAACTCCCTTGCTATCTGTCTGTTTGTCTGTCTTCCCTTAATCTCAGGAACAGAGTCAGATAGATGAAATACGAGACCAGATATTGAAACCTTGGGAGCAGGAGGCCTCAATTAACTATATACAAACTTCAGATGCAAACTGGAAGTCATGTTATTTTAATTCAAAACTTTCCTCAGAAAAGTGTTAGATAGATGACCGGCACAACTCTGTTGTTAAAGGGAAAGTATGATGTACAGGGGCAAGCCACTACAGGATCATGTATTTTAAGTTAAATAAATTAAAAATTTCAGCTCAGCATATTGACAATGTTACAACAAATAATTGCTTGTGTCTTTGTCTTCCTTTTTCTTTGTTGGTGCATGTATATTTACCATTATAATAAATATTGCACTGTCCTTTTAACATGTTTCCAACAATCCATTATAATAAGAAAATGTTTTTTGCCAGCGTGCAGTGAAAACTTATTTCCAATGCATGGAAAACACTTGTAGACGATCCGATATAGGGAGATAGGTTTTAAGAATGTACATACGATAGCATTTATAAGTTCCACAATATTTATTATAACTAATAATACTGTATAACTATTTTAGAAATTATATGATTTTTGTTTGTATAAGTTAGCATATTTGAACATTTTTATAGAATTTTAAAAGTTTTAACTTGTTAATTTATAAAACAAAAATTTATTAATTTTTTGTATATCAGGTAAATTTATTTATTCTGGTTCTCACTTTGAGAGTAATTATCATATTATTAATTATATTTGTAATTATAACCAAAGTGTTTTAACTTATGTTTCTTCTCCCCCACTGTTCAGACATTTGTCTTTTTCTATTTATTTTTGCTCAATATAAACTGAACACCTTTGACTTTTCCAACTTTTCTTCTCCTTGATCTCCTCTTCTTCTAGACCTATTGCATTTATGAATTCTGGAAAGTTGAATTCTTTGGACCAGAAGTCAGTTCAAAATCAGAAGAATGTGTTTGATGATGCGGCAAAGTTTCACACCAGAAACATTGGAGTGTCAACAGCGAGAAACAGACAGGATGCCAAAGAATTCATAAATGAAATAGATCTAGAAGAGGGCAATCAAGGAGAAGAAAAGTTGGAAATATCAAGAGAGTTCAATTTATATTGATGAAAAATAAATGTTTTAATTTATTAAATTTTAGAGGATTTCATTTTTTTTTTAGTTTATTATAAAATTATATACTCTTTCATAAACTGACATTCAACATCAGACCCCTGAAGATGAACTGATAAAGCTAAGAAATACTTGGAACTGTTAATAAGTGATAAGCTTCAGTTGTTATATCGATTTATATTTAAAAATTTTCACTTATTAATATTTTTTTTAAAAGAAGAATCTGAAATATATTAATATACAATTTTTATACATAACATACAGTATATAAAATGATACCTAGATGTGTAAACAATACTGATATGATTAGAATATTACTAACAAAATTGCACTGTATAGCCTAGGTTTTTCTTGAAGTAACTACAGTTTTTAAAAATTGACTTTATATCTTAAGATTTTAACTGTTTTAAAAGTTATATTTGTACTTATCATTTTTGTTTTCTTCTTCTATATAGAAGTGAAATTTAAATCAATAGATATGCAATAAAAAAAATATATATATTTTTTTTAATAGAAAGCTTTATATTAGAAAAGACAAAACTAGAGTAGTTAAGTTAATGTGCAATAAAAGAAAAAAGTGTCTTTCCAATATGAGAATAGGCAATTATAAGTATTGTATATCACAGTAAAATAATATATAGAGAGATAGAATGAAAGTATATAAGATAATGAACTGTATAATTAGCTATTATGAGGTCTATGATCATATCTCTATACCATATTGCTTTTAATAGTTTAAAAACATTCCAAAACCTTTTGGATCCAAAATTTGTAGCTAAAGTTTTTCAGAAGAATATTGAATTTTCTAAAATATTCGGAACTAACTGCATGTTCCCTGCATTGCTGCAGCTTTTAAGGGGCTGTCCATAAGTTACTTTCACATTTTACTTGAAATTTTTACTTCTCCCCAATGTTACAGTATTCCCAAGTTTCTGTAATCCCACTCTCCTCCTCCTAGTCTGACTTTGTCAAACTTGTCATAACCCCCCTCTCCCCCTTCCAGTATGGACATCATTTATGGATAAACCCTAAGGGGGTGGAGATTGGTGAGGTTGACTTGAGAGAGAGTGATAAAAGCAATGGTCTTAGTAACTAAAATATATATTTATTGGCCCTAGTATTTACAATAATGAAACTGCAAAAAACAAAATCAGTCGTGCTTAAGAGGAGGTTTTTAGGGGTTGGAACCTCGTAGTATTCTAGGGTGCCAAAGCATATTTATTCCAAATTTGATGCGGATACGTTGAACAGTATAGAAAAACATGAGTATAAAAGTATGAAAAATAATTTATATAACGAGGATTGCAATTAAAATCGAAAATAGTTATAGATTTTTATTTTGATACGTCGTAAAAAAGAAAGGGATATAAAAAAAAAGTTCCCTTGTCGCTGGCAAAGATCAGGAAACGAATTTAGCTAGTATCTATAGATTTTTCTTTGGTAGTTGCGGGCTAATTCTCATGCCTTATTACAGTCGAATGGCCCTATTGTAGTCAGCACTTTGTCTACTTTTTTTCGTTTGAATGAGATTGCAAGATGATGATGAGCAATAATCGTGCAGGATCTTATCGGATTTTTTTGTGTTCCTTTATGTTCTTATATTATATATGACACGAAATCGAATTGTTATTAGCCTACTGTATATCCTATATACTCCTGAAAGTAGTTATTTTAATATTTTATTGTAAAATATTATTGTTTGTCTGATTATTTTTTAAATAGTCCACAATAAAACGGTTATCGGTAAATTATGTAGGAAACAATTGACCAATCTTTTTTTCCTTTGAATTCTTCACGATGAAATGTATTTGAAGGTGCTTCAGAGGATTAAGATTTTAACTCGCAAATATTTATATTAATAAATAGTAAATGCGCTTTTGTTACTTTAAATTTATTATTTTAAAACAATAATTTATAATTTGTAAAGTGAAATACAGTGCTGTTTTGGTATGAATGGCCTTTTAGATGACATCAAATTGCTCTTCTTAATCGATTTCCTTTAGTTGCTGTGATTACTTAGCACAATAATCATCAAAGAAAACGGGTAGTCTTTTGCTTTCAACGTTTCTTCCTCTTTTTTTATGTTTTATTTACATTTCAAATGATGTTACGTTAATTATTTCCAGTCATTTTGTTTCTCTTCCTAAATAGAAATGCTAATTATGATATGATCGTTGGAAATTATGTATAATTAACAATAACAATTAAATAAGCTTAGTGTTTAATTATAAATTAAAGGCTTTTTAAAATGCAATTGTAATTAATACGAATTAGTAAAATAAATGTTTTATTTATTTTATTAAGACTTTTTCTTTTTATTTAAATTCCATAAATTCACGTATCTAGAAAGATAACTTTGCTGTTTGCTCACGGATAAATTAATACCTCGCTTCGGACTTCGAACGGCCTCTTGAAATGAATTAAATTCGAAGTACGAGACACCACTGTATTTTTCACAAAAAAATTTTTTCTTCTCTTCTCAATTTTTACATCATCATAAGTAATTATATTTATTTTGCAATAAATAATCGGGCCAGACCACGTGGAGTTTTTCCGATTTCCTTCTTGTTTCTATCACCTAAATAGAGGCCACTTTCCCATAGAAAGCCTTCCCGGGAGGCATCCCCCCCTCGACAGATCGCCCGCAAATTGCGTTGCCTTATGGGCCAACAAACAAATATTTTGGTTAAGGGACAAATGGAGTAGTTGAGAGAAATTTTACGCAAATAAAATCATAAATACCAATTTACAATTTGTTAACTGTGTTGCTTTCTCTACCTTGTTTTCCCCCCTTGTTTTGCTCGAACTTGTAAGGGCACAGTTGCCCCCTGCATCTCGACTGGTGCGCCCATGACTCTTATCAATTATTCCGTTATAGTAAGTCAAGTAGTCTATAAATATCCATTAAAATTAATGGATTACATGGTTTTTTTCTATTATAAAAAATAAGAGAAAACATCAAACTGTATTTAAAATGTTTTTTTTTTCTCCCGAAAATACAAAGCACCATAAGTTCTAAGATGTATTAAATCAATTATAAAAATGAGTTTTGCGTTGCGATTTAGAAAATAAATCGAGAAACGTAAATTAAGTACAGCAACGCTTATATTTATTAACGTTTTTGTATTTTCAACGATTATTACGTGAAAGAAATAAACAAAGAATTTATTTTTCAATTTTTAAAATTAATTGCATTGAAATGATCGCAGCTTTCATAAAATATTCCAGCGATTGTTAATGGGAAGGGCATACTTTCAAATGGATTTGACAATCAGATAGATTGTGATTCTCGTACGATAATAAATCAGTGCTTCTTAACTAGGGATATCGACCCCCCGAGGAATGAAAATGGATTTGGGGAACGGGAAATAGTTCTAGAAGCGGAAAAAAATAATGGAAATCCACACCAGTCAGGAAAATCAGAAGAAATATAATGGGCACACATAAATAAATACTTAATTATAATTTATTCTCGATATTTAATTAAATATAAAGTATGAAATCTTTCAAATTTTGTTACGGGGTGGCGATTAGAAAAATTATTTCTTCATTTGGACAGTGGCGCATTATCCTGTGGACAAAAAAAAGCAACTGACTTAGTCCTCCACCAAAAGGGTACCTCAAACCAATCTTAATAAAGTATTTCCCTAAAAAATTCCTCCGAAGAAGAATCCTGAAGTTAACTCTATACATTGGGGGGCTCCTGATTCAAATTCGCCTGGGCCCCATGAAGTTATAAAGCACCACTTCTTTGGAAGGCTATTTTTAAGGAAAACTCGAGATACAGTAAAACCTGTTTAAACGAGAAAAAATTCTTCGAAACGGAGCGATTTTTTAATGTTAAAAAAATATCCCTCTTCTTCCGTTACCGTGCGATTCCGGTTTAGGCAGGTTTTACTGTATATTGGAATAGACGAAAATGTATTTTAAGAATTAAATGAATGGAAGTTACAATAAAGATTAACAACTACTTGTTTAAACTTCCAAACTTTTATTAGTAGCTTTCATCCCCGCCTTCAGGCATGAAGTTAAATCGTTCCAAAGACTGTGGCTTTAGATTGCCAGAGGATCGGTCGAACCCGCGACTTATACCTAATCCTCCTTTCTCTATCTAACTCATTGTCTTAAAGAATAGAATAATTGTTACTAGGTTTGTTCCTCTGTAAGCAGTTTCATTGAATGGAATATCAGTCGATTTTTAAGTCGTGTAATCCACTTTTATGGTAATTTCTGAAATCTGAAAATTACGTCTTCGTTATTGGAACCGGTTTACACGTTTTGCACGGTTTTCATAGGTTTATTCCAATCATAAACGATGTAAATTGCAGCGAAACCTGTCCGAGACGGAACCCGAATATAAAGGAAACCTGCATAAACTGAACGGAGCTATTTTTTGTGTTAAAAAAAGCCTGTTAAACTGGAAAAAACATTCTGTACAGTATCGCGAGATTCCGGTTTACACAGGTTTTACCGTATTACGTAAATAGTCTTTTTTAATATGAGTTTTAATTTTTAAATAATGTTTATATTGAACTTATGCGTAAAAACAATGGCGCACTACCCAATAGATGTACAAGGCTTGCCCCTAGGGCCTCCTCGCCTCGAGGGGCCTCAAAGATTATACAGCAAAAATATGCCTGTAAAAATTTAAGGAACGTTTAAAAATTGTACATCCCTCACACCAGCAAGAACGGTAAAATCATCAATTTGTGAATTATATCATTGTCTTTTTTAATGTGAAAAGACCGCTTACATAAAGGGCCTTTAACAAAATTGCGCCTAGGACCTCAAAGGTACTGTACTTAATCCGTTATTACGTAAGAATATTAGCAAATAGAATTTATAAATATTTTAACAAGTTTTATTTATTTATTTTTGAGATAAAAATATCGAAAGCAAAATATAACACGTTTAACCATTTAAACCATGGTAAAACAATTTAAATCCTCCCCTTCTCTAATTGTTCTATCCGTTAACAGATGGCGTTGCACACGTCTTGACATATGGTATTTACAGAAGAGTGGAAGGTAGAAAGAGGAATTAAAAATTGATATTTTCATTCGGTTCTTTTGAAGAAATTATCGTTTAAATTTTCTATGATTCGAGCCAAATGTTGCACTGTATTTTACCAGTTTAATTTCTAAATATGACGTGTTGAAATAAATAAAGACTGAGCATGCTCTTAGAGCAAAGAGTGTCTTCACTGCAAGGGACAACTGACGCATTCTTTAATTTTTCCACAGGTAAATTTGTTTGTTTGTTTTTTCTTCTGCAGAAAATCTTTTTCAGTTTTGCTGCTAGAAAGGTTTTTTTTTTTCTTCTTCTCTAATCGTAGTGTCTGCAGAAACCTCGTGTCTTACACTCGATCACAATAAAATCACACACGAAATCACTATAAAACTACGTCACACCACAGGAAAGATTGTAGGATATATATATATTTTTTTCCGCGTTATCCATAAATTTCGCAGCAGAATCGACATGAAATGCAAATTTCGTACGTGTTTCGGGGATGAAATTATGCAGAAAAACCTCAAAGATCACCTACGTTATGACGTAGTTTGATAGTGATTTCTTCAACACATTACAGGGATGATTTTCGTCGTCTCCTAGCAACCCGGGGGCGCGGTTACTTAATTCCCCTCGGCGATTGGTTAGGTTGGTTCTGGCAGCCAAGTCTCCCGCCACTGGCTACCGAGGAGTCGAACGGCGAGAGGAGGAAGTGACGTCACGGGAGATGGGAAATCGTGCCTCGTACTGTTTCCCACCTAGACGGTGCAGGCCCGTTTCCAGGTGAGAGTCGTATCGGCTTATAATTAAATTCGACATAGGGTTTTCGGCCGCATCATGTTTATGCGAGGCGAAAGCAGAACGGCCAAATGCGGTCGGCAGAAAACAGTACACGCGTAGACTAAGGGAGAAGGGAATTGTATCGATGCTTTTCCTAGGCGAGGGCACGAACCAAAGGCGCCATCCCCTCCATTCTGAACGACAATCGATACTCGAGGATACAGCAATCCGTTAGACGATAGTTGGTGATTTTCCATTCTTATCCGATGCCACTAAAATCTCGTCCATAGAAAAAGGAATTGCAAAACCATATTCGGAATTCTTAACCAGATTTCTAGAAGAGGAAGAGGAGGAAAAAAATGGGTAAAATACCACGATGATCGCCTTGGATAATTACCTTACTACTATTAAGAGATGTGCTACGAGGAATTTTAATAATCCCCATTTTTTTCCAAACAGATGACCAACTTTTTTCCTTTTTTTTTCGGAGCCATCTGATGACGACGTAACGTTAATAAAAACGGTTGCCATGACGATTCGAATGTCATTTCCAATGAATGGGAATTGACTTTACGAAACGAACATAAGTGCTGTGATTTCATCCCTCTTCTTCCTCCCATCCTTTTATTAATTTAGGATAGTAGCCGGAAGGAATTCTGTTATTTAGAGCGATTAATTTGCGAAATTCTTAATCAGTTTTTATAATTTTTCCCTTCTCTTCTCGATCAAGATTATTGGAAAAATTCTTTTCCCCGTTTTCTGGCAATGTTTTGAAAGCGAGAGAGAAGGAAGATGAGAAACGAGAATAAGATGATGAAGTGTAGGGAAATGCTGTAAAAATAATAACTGTTTCATCCTGCGGAATCGGGTTTCGCCAACTCTCCACGTTACTAGTTAACCGCCTTCTGTTCAACCTTCTGCCATTTCCGGTGCCATCCCATATTTTAATTCTTTTCTGGGAATAGAAGCGAAATTGGAAATCCCTTGTAAATTTTCTTCCCTCTTCTTTTTTTTTAATATTTCGAGTATTACCACGTTCTTCGCCATCCACGAATTAATATAATCCCGTTTGATGTATCGGTTATTAATAATAATCCTGTCGACGAAACCGTATCGTTTTATATTATGACGAATTTATCAAGATTTATTGCATTGATAATCGAGTTTCTTCACCAAATTATTCGAGAAATTCGTGACAGTTATGTGTAAGAATTACGACATAGAAAAATGGATGGGCATATAACCGTCTGCTGTTGCCTTCTTGGACTACTTCCAGTTAATAATATAACTAGTTGATTAAGGTTAAAAAAATAATAGCAGCTCAGTTAAAAATCGTATTAAATAGCGGTCACGTATGATAAATGACTTATTTATTTGTTACAGTTCTTTTCCTGTCAAACATGCAAGCGTTAAAACTTCTTACATTCCAAAACAACACGTTTTTTTTTACTTAGAAGAAATCTAAAACCGATCGAACAGAATTAGGAATGATCTTAAATCGCTCTCGTTATTAATTATTCTCTTGTACTTTTGCTTGTAAATCATTAAACACTTGGCTTAAAGCTTACCGTATGTAATCTGTGGACTTAACAACGCGTGTGCTTTTGTTGGATCATCCGAAGCAGTGAGGCCTTTTCGATAGATGGCGACACTGCTTTGAATGAGTAAATCAGTACAAAAAGACAATCCCTATTTAGTAACTCCTAGGAGACAGTTTAGTCCGTGGCATGGATACGAAATGGATGCAAATCAAAAACGCATTGCGCGGATCAAAACAAGACCGCCGTTACGGGTAAGTATCGTAATTTTCGGTATAAATGTGGCAAAAAAATCGCGAAAATGTTAAAACTTAAGCCGTTATTATTACTGCAAAACCTTAAAATTCGTCTAGCATCTAGTATAACGTCCCCGCTTGTTTCGTCTAATGTAAAAGCGCAGACGGAACTGAAATCGAATTTTGTTTTCGAATGCGATGAATGAATCTTTGTAAACATATCGATAAACCTAAGCGAAACGATCCTCGTATATTGAAATTACGTCAGGAATATATTTAAAATAAATAACGTCCGAAGTAAAAACATTGTAATGTCTTGTTTATAATCATTGACATCCATTAAAGTTTCTTTCTTTCTCGTGAATTAACATTTCCCCCCTCCCCTCTATGATCCAAATCGATGAAGTCACTAATCTATAAATTGAATTGCCGATAACAGCGAGTGATATCAATTTGGTTGGATTTAATTACGCGATTTTAGTCGTCTTTTATATATATATATTATACCCTGGAAGATTGTACCCGATTAGATGTAATGTTTTTAAATTTAGTATCAGAATTAGTCCATAAAAATATTTTTGGAAATTTCCTCATGGCTTAGAATATAAAAAATTTAAAAAAGAAGTTGAATTGAGGTACCATTGTTTGTTGTTCGTTTCCGAAAGTAATCCCATGGCGAATCCTCTGTTAGAAAGCTTTTACAGGGTCAGTTGTCTTTTACTCTTCTTCCTTTCTTTATGTTTGATACAGCAATGTTAACTGTAGACTGTTACAAGTTAATGTACTCGTATACTGTACAAAATGTATCGGGAACATTTTCTTAGAACAGGGTTTGGCTCGTAGCCAAATTTAACTGTTGACTATTTAAAAAAAAAAAAAAAAAAACATTTACTCCTACTCTCAGCTGGGGGAGAGGAATTTCAATTTTTTGATTATCTTTATACTAACAAATTTAATATTCAGGGAAAAAGTAATTTATTTTTCTCATATACGAGTATCTATTCTATAGATATTAGTTAAGGTGATGAATATTCCAAAATGTTTTCCTCCCCGAATCATTCATTTATTTAAGTCTGGTAGGGATTTTTTTTCTCCCCCTCCCTTTTCAAACGATGGAAAAGAAAAATTATAAAGAATCTGAAGAGGAATAACAATGGATGCTTATTTTAATCCTAAAATACTGACTTTCATTTGGAAGTTCGCCGTCACAAATATAAATCATAAATTTGCTTCTTGCTACCTTTTATTTTTTATTTTTATTTTTTTGTTCTTAGTCGTTAAATATCTAACACCAAACCGAAGAGAGATAAGACTTTTGGTTAAAAGTTTTATCGGGAGAGAACGTTGATGTATCAGATTATAAATTTAGCTATAAGCTTGTTTAATAAGGGGGTGAGAAAACATCAATTTATTATCGTAACGGCGAAAGTGTGCCGCGCTTACTGGGAGTTTTAAAAAAAAAGTACACTTACATAAGCACTCGATAAGCCGAATGCACTGTTTTTTTTCTTAAGTTTAAGAATTAAATATTCGTACAAATCAAATTCTGTTTTTATATTTACGTGTAAACTTATGTTTTAAGTGGTCTCAATTCAGCCTTTGTTTACTTATGTCGATTTCATTTTATAATCTTGATTGAAAGTAATCAGCTGGAAATCAGATCTTGTAGACGTTTTTCTTATTAAATAACTATTTTAGGGGGTTTAAATTAATTAAATTAAATTTTAAAAAACGTTTTAATGTCGAAAATCGCATCTTCTGTAGTGTGAAAAACGTCATACTTTAATCAATTTATTAACAATAGGGTTCTTTTCAAGATGCACCATCTTTTCCGACGTTATTTTCGAGTTAAACTTTCTAAATAAATTAAATTTAAATACATTAAATTCAAAGTAAGCAGCTAGAAACCTATTTTATTTCCGTTGGAATCGAGAAATCTTTTAAAACGCCGAATTTATTTAAACTCTGGAACTATTTTACTTGAGAAAGACCCCGAAATGCACTCCTTCCTGGTATATGCCCGGTTATCGCTTGTATGGTACTTGAAAGCAATTGTGACGATTGTTTTTTGAGAGATTGTCGTGCGCCTCTACCCTCGATAATTGAGAAATTATTAAATAATAGCTATATCATATAATAGCATTGATTGTGTAAAAATTGTGAAGATTGAAGGCCAGTAAGAGGAGGGAAATGCCCAACCTTGGCCTAAGAAATATGAATTATATATAAATGGATGATTACCAATAGAATTAAGTAAAAATTGCTATCATATCTCTTTTTTTTTTTTTATCTATTAATATTGTATTTTCAGCATGTAATTTGTATTTTGATAGTAAGTTAAATACAGCAAGACTTGTTCGAGACAGAACCTTTTAATAAAACAGAAACCTGCCTGAATGGGAAAATTTCTTTGGAACGTGGCGATTTTCTGTGTTTATAAAACCTGCCAAACCGGAAAAATATTTGGTACCGTGCGAGTCCACTTTACACAGGCTTTACTGTATATGATGTGCAATTTACTAGTGTAAGAATATCATCAACTTTAGCAGCTCTATTTATTTAAACTGAAGGAAATTTTTTAAAGTAGAAGCAATACCAACTATTTTGCCTATTTTTTGAAAATGTCCTGCAGTATAGTCTCTTATCTTCTGTTTGCTTCCTCCTTGAGAGTTGCAATACCTCTCCCTTGACTTTTTTATATTATGTAGTGTTTACTGGTTGCTGATTTCTCAAAAAAATAAATAGAATGATATTAGATAGTGTCCTTCTGAAACACATGTAAGTCTCTCTTACTCGTCCAAGGCCTCGTGCCCCTACATCATTCTTTTAGATCAAAACAGTGACTATTCATCCCTTGTCATTCTTATACACCTATTTTGACTATTTTGGAAATTTTATTTTCAAAAATGTCAACTTTAGAAAAAGTAATATATAACCTCTGGACAATTGCATCGATCAACATGAAATAGCAATTTTGTAAGAGTGTACGGATGTTAAAGTAGCAAGAAAGAAAGTGATATAAATGTAAATTACAAATACATGTGTATAAAATACAAAATAACTTCAGAGTATATAAACAACAATTGTAAATAACCAATTTACTTTAATTTTTATAGTTTAAGCTAAATATAGTTTGATAAAAAGATTTTTTCATGCTATTTTTAAGATAATTTACAGTATAAAAATTACTGTTGATGTTAAACAGAGTAAATTATATCCATTGTTGAAG